GTACATGTACAGTATGTGTATTTTTAAAGATTTGCAAAATACATGTACATGTACATCCAACATGTATATGTACCTGGGTGGTTCGCTCTCAATTTCATCAACTTCTATTTCCGAGTCCTCCTCTCCCATTAGCATCTTCTGGAGTCTCTTGAAGTTCCTATGATCGACTCTACGCACAGCGTCTTTGGTCCTTTGGATCAACTTGAAAACAATGTCACCACTTCTCGGGAGATTAATGAATCGATGCTATAGAGAGAGAGAGAGAGAGAGAGAGAGAGAGAGAGAGAAAAGAATGTTTTATTTTTTAATTTTTTTACACATAATATAATAATAGTAACAAACTAATAGAGCAAAATACATGTACATGCCAGATAAAGCACAAAAATGTAGTATTAAGTACATGTACATGCATAATAATAAAATAATAAATTAATATACACCATACATTAATATACATGTACATGTACTTACTGCAAGGGCTTCAGTTGAGTCTATTCTGTCTTCTGGTTCTTTCTGAAGACAACGACTTATAAAATCTCGAAATAAGTCGGACCTAAAATTAATCAACATCACCATCACATAGTGCACAATTACATGTACATGCACATGTACATACCAGTTTTGCGGCTCCTGTATGGTGGGTGGGTCCTTCTGAGCTATGTGATACATGGCAGCCATAGCGTTCATGTGAAACAATGGCGGTTTTCTTTCCGCTGAGAGGAGATTATAAAAATAAATTGTACAAATTAGTAAATCATGCAAATTTCACTTATTTCAACTATATAGATGTTACTATTATCGTACATACAGGGTTTCCCACAAGATTTTGGTAGGAGAGCTTTGTAGAATCCATGTGGTTTGTCAAAATACATGTACATGTACATGTAGTTAAAGAGAATTCTCCACTTTTATAATCTTTTTCTGATACATATACATGTAAATGTATATATACTTATGTTGTGCAGCAAGTTTGAGCTGATTCCGATCAAGATTGGATTTTTTATGAATTTGTAAAGTTGCTCGATCCTAAAGCAATACACTACATGTACATGTAAAATAGTGCATGACTTGTCAGCTAATGAAGTGTGTCATTTAGCTCTCACTTACATGTACATTACATTGTAGGATGCCTTGTGGGAAACCCTCTGTACATGTAAATGTATACAGATGGGAGGGTTTACTAAACTACATGTACACAAATACTGTATACTATTATGATCTATTATTTATCTATCTATTTTTAACTCAGACACTCATACATATAACATATATTATGTATATTGTATATGTATTTTTATTGTAAATAGTTTAGTAACATGTAAAAAAAACATACATGTATGTACATATTGTACATGTACATGTACATTAAATCTCACCCATTTCAATGCAAGTGATGCCGATAGACCAAACGTCCACTTTACCATCGTACTGACCCTCGTCCATAGCCATTATAACCTCCGGTGCCATCCTACATGTACATGTACACGTAACCCGTACATGCACAACGTACAGTGTATACTAAACACTTACCAAAATGGAGTCCCAACAAAGGAATTGGCCGGAGAATATTCACAAGCAGAGCCAAAATCAGCTACAAAAAATAACAAAAAATAAATAAAAAAGACATAACAAATACACATGTACATATACA